GCACAAAAAAAAAATACTTTTTTTTTTATAATTTTAAAATTTCTGTTTTTTCTTTTTTATGCACCACCCACCCCCTCCCCCCATAGGATTTTTAAAAAAAATTATTTTTCGTAATTTCAAATTTCGTTTTTTTTTAGTTATGAAATTTGTGGGTTCGAAGGTTGTTGGTTCGAAAGTGTATGACTTCATGTTTATTGTATCTAAATTATTTATGAATACTCTTGAGAAGTTATTTTTCTTAATTTGCATACCAAACATCGGAAAATGAATAAGATTACTACTTGTTTTCCAAAAAAATATTTTATTGAAAAATATTTTTCACCAAAAACTATACCAAACTCACCCTTAATTTCATTCCAATTCAATCCTGAGAAATGGCGCCGTCATATGCGATCTTGTGATTACACTCTCAGACGCTATGAGTGATAGTGAACGAGTGTGTATTCATATCCTCAAATTGAACAAGTGACTCTAGTTGTAGTTGGCACAATTTGGTCTCCCCATCGATGTGTCCTGCCTCACGTGCACTCAAATACATGGGAACTTTATACATATTCATTCTTTATTTTTTCTAGTCATATACATAATTTATACATTAATTATACATAATTATATATATATATATATATATATATATATAATACATAAATTATGCATATATTATACCTTCGCCGGCTATTTTTAATTTAAACAGTTGGGTGAACGGTTATTTTGGTTAATTCTTCCAAATACATTGTGGTGGGGTGTCAAATGGGCAGATTGGGCAAAGTTACTTGGAATGAGATGAGTTGGGTCAACTAAATTTGGGTCATAGCCCAATCCGCCCAACTTTTATCAAACTTTAATTAATGTATGTTGTTTTCTTATGAATGGTTTAATTATCAAATAAGACTTTTTTTTCTTCTTTTTGTTACTATTATATACTATAACATATCAAACAAAAAAAATATATTTTAAAGATATTTTAGCAAAGTTATTCATTATTAAGTTTCGAATAAAAATCAGTTCAACTTTAGATGGCATGAGATGAATTGGGTCAAGGATGAGTTCAACAAATGAACGGGTCAATATCCGACCTAACGCGCGCGAATTGGACGGGGGAGATGGGTTAGGCTCAAATTGCCACTCATTCGTTCATATAGTAACAGCCATAGGAATTTGGATCTTACCTTAGCATCTTCGCTCACGATTCCCAGCATCTAATCTAAAGATGCTTTTCACTGTTCCCTTAATTATTTCACGGCTAGCTCACGTTCATCACCCCAACTTCCATATATATATATATTCCCTTCTTTACGCTCGACTTTCTGCATTAACATAGAGAGAAAAAGAAAACTCTAGATATATAGACTCTTTGTAAAAGACATGAATACAATATTGGAATATCCGCTCGAAGCTCTTGCTTTTAATTACTTGAGCTTCGGTTTCTTTACTGTCGTCAACAATGTTTGGGCATGGGTCGCCGTTATTACGGCTGCCGTTAGCTTTTGGAAGATCAAAACTTCTTCAACTTTGCCCTCACCGGAGCCACGTGGCGACTTTTCCGGTGCCCCATCTCCATCTCCACCGCAAACGACGTCGGTACCATCATCTTCAACAGTTACTACTGAGATGTACACTGGTGTTGTTATGAACAAAGAAGAAGGAACAAAAGGGAAACTCACGGTTTATTTTAAGCAAGATGACGGCGAAGAATGTGACGTCGATGGAGACGACGGTGATCAGAAAGGAGAAGACGGCGCCGTTGAAATGTGGTTTGAGAATTGGGAAAATTTATTGAAAATGAGAAATGGGGAAATGGGGTGGTATAGATACCAGGACATGAAGGTAATTGACGGCAACGTAGTTCGGTTGTGGGACGGTTGTAGACGGCGGAGGAAGGCGGAAACCACCGCTTTCTCGGTTGGCGTAGTTAGTACTTGGTAGATTTATAGAATCAATCAATGGTAGTAAGAGTAGTAGCTAGGATTTTATTAAATATGGAATCCATGGACGCAGAAGTCGAGCTAGTGTATTTTGTGTTAAGAAATTCATTAAATATGTACAAATATTAAATTTGGAACTCAATTATAAGTCGAGCTACAGGTTAATAGTGTATTTTGTGTTAAGAAATTCATTAAATATGTACAAATATTAAATTTAGAACTCAATTATAAGCACTTAAAGTCGTAATTCTATGATTCGGAACTCATAAGGTTGAAATACTAACTCCGCTTGTGCATCTAGCTAAGCCTCGATGACCAAAGTTAATTACTCCCTCCGTTTCAATTTATGTGAACCTATTTTCTTTTTAGTCCGTGCCAAAAAGAATGACCTCTTTCCCTATTTGGAAACAATTTACTTTTATGCAATAATTTATAGCCACACAAAATATATGTGCCTCATTTTACACCACAAGTTCAAAAGTTTTCTCTCTTTTCTTAAACTCTGTGCCCAGTCAAATGGGTTCACATAAATTGAAACGGAGGTAGTATTTGTTATCTGTGTTGTACAGAATAATTGGTATCCAAAGGTACCTTTTATTTGTATGGATGGCTCGAGGCCGAGGTTAGTAAAGCATTTGTTTTAGACCTCTAAAATTTTGAGGCCCCAAAAAATTTTAATGGTGGAATACATAATATTTTCACTTAAACAATATTGAAATTTGTAGAAAAAGGTATAAAATATGTGTAAAAAAAAAAGAAGAAACAAAAAATCTCTACTATTTGGCATTAGAAATATTATAGAACTTTGAATTAAACTACTCAAATCTTCATATTAGTAAATAAAATTTTTTTACAACAAGATCCAAGGAAATATATTGCAAACATATGACTAAATCTTCTTAACTTGAATTCACCTGGCTATTATAAATAATAATATTACTAAGTAAAGTTAAAAGTTCTATATCTTGTAAAATAACTACAATATAAACAAGTATGAAAAAAAGGAAAGATAACATTAAATTGTGTGCATATATTTGTATAGGTTTATAATTTTTGAATTATTATTATTATTATTATTATTATTATTATTATTATTATTATTATTATTATTATTATTATTATTATTATTTAAGTGCTACATGAACACCTAAAAGTTGAAGTCACTATGTATAACCCTTTGAGTCAAGTACACGAATCATAATGGTTTGACAAAAATGACAAGAAAACTGATAAATAGAATTTTTAAAGTAGAACAACGCACCGTTTGAGCCTTAGCTGTTGTGATGTTGGTGCATAATATGTTATGCAACTTGAGATACTGATATAGGAGTACCTCTTAATATGTTTCACTACCAATCTTGACCATTAAGAATCGGTATCACTAGAGGCGAACCAACGCTCAGAAGCAGCATTCCATGCCTCATCTTCACCGTTGGAGCGATCATGGTCTTGGTATTTTGGCAACGAAAAATTGGCACCATCGTCCATCCCTAATTTGCATAATTTAGAAGATTCAGCCGACCAAATAAAGGCAAAATGAGAAGAGATGAAGCTCAGCTATGCAAAACAGGAATTTCAGCAACCAAACAGCAACTCCATAGCTTAATTATCACGTGAAATTCCAGGAATAAGAAGCAGAAGAGTAGAAGTTCCAACTAGCTTTAGAATATCTCTTTTGTTTTTTGTTTTTGTACTCAATTTTTGAAACTCTTTCGTTTTCTAGTGGGACAATACATGTGAGCACTTAATTTTTGACTATATTTGAATTTTTACTACCTTCTACTATGTAAATATTTTTAAAATTTTAATATATATTTTTTTAGCTTTGTTACATTTTTTTAATATAGAGTAAGAATTAAAAATAATTTAAAAGGTCAAATTATTACTATTAGTATTATTTTTATTTTTTATCTTTATTTTAAAATAAATTAAATTAAAAACAATCGAAAAAAATAAATATTTTTTTTTAAAATTTTCGGATGAGAATAGAATAATAAGAAAATTAAAAGTATGGAATAAAAAATTAAAAGTAAAACTAGGTAGAAATTATTTGTTAAAAAAAGTAAAAGAAACTGGAAAATTAAAAAAATAAAAGTAAAACAATGTGAAAATTTAAAAAAATAAAAAGTAAAATAAAGATGAAATTAAAAAAATACAAGTAAAGGTAGCTGAAATTTATTTTTAAAAAAGTAAAAGAAAGTGGAAAATTAAAAAAAGAAAAGTAAAATAAGTGAAAATTAAAAAAAGAAAAGTAAAATAAGTGAAAATTAAAAAAAGAAAAGTAAAATAAGTGAAAAATAAAAAAAAGTAAAGTAAAAAAAGTGGGATATTAAAAAATAAAAGTAAAGGAAAGTGGGGAATTATTCTTTTAAAAAAAGAAGAAAAATGGAAAGTGGGAATTCGTTTTAATTAAAAAATATTAAATAAATAAATAAATAAATAAAAAACTGAAAAAATTCTGAATTTTTTCCCTATAAATAAAAGAGAAATGTGAGGAGAAAAGAGGAGAAGGAAGGAAAAATAGAGGAGAGAATTGAGATAAAAACAAAATTTTTCTTCTGCGCTAAGTGAATTTCTACTCGTTTCATTATTTCTTTCGAAAATTCAAGCAATTCATCACCCTATTTAAGACCCAAAAATACCTCAAATTCAAGCCTAAAAACACCTTGTGAAGCTTCATTGATAGTCACCTCTCTCACGCCAAAAACCAGCAGCCTCACGAGGTACAATCGAGTTTCGGTCCGGGCTCGAATTTTAGAAGGTTCGTCACTAGATTTTCTGCTCATCTGCCGATTTACCCTTGGTTTGGTGTATTTGCTCGACTCAGAATTGTTTTGCATTAATCAAGTTCTAAAGGAATTTTTCTGCTTAAAGGTTCATTGTTTATCCTCCATTTGTTAATTATTTCATTGTTTTGTGTGATATTCTTATAGAGGTTCATGTGATAATTTTTTGTGTTGTTTTATTTATACACATTATCATGTTGTAGTTTCATTTTACATGTTTCAAGCGATTTGTCAACAGATTATTTGAATAGGATTTCATCTTAATGAGATTTGTTATTTAGAATTAAGAATAAAGATCTTGCCATATTAATAGGCCATGCGTTGGAGTTCAAGTAAGTGAACCAGAAATGAGTCACCACATTTAATAGGAAAGAAAGAATTAGACATGGGTTGGATTGAGTATAAATTTATCAGGCCCAATAATTTTGTCACTAGACTAATAATTAGCTCATTCTTCCATAATGGATAAATGTCTCCTAATTTCAAAGATAGAATAATAAGTTGTAAATATTTCTAAGTGTGGATGACTTTTCAATACTTTTAATAACTAATATATTTCAAATTAGTTTAGGAAAATAATACAAGTGCGCATTCACATGACTTGATCAATCAACTTCGAATAATAATAAATGTGTTATTGATTGCGTACACGTACGAGTGACATGATTTTTGACGCCAAACAAAAATGAGTACACGTACGCGTGACTTATTTCAAGATAATTTTTATAAATCTAATCAAGCAATAAAAGCGGACATAGGTAAAACATGAGAACCAATAAAACACAGGTTATCCAAAAATAATATAAGCCAAATGAGTCAATAAAGCGACCGTGCTAGAACCACGGGACTCGGGGAATGCCTTACACCTTCTCCCCAATCAACAGAATTCCTTACCCGAACTTTATTTTCACAGATCAATAATAACATATTCAAACCTTCCTTTTACTAAGTATTCAAATAAATGGTGACTTGGAACACCCAAAAAGTCAATTTCAAGTGGCGATTCTGTAAATAAAATAATCCCTACTTAAATTTGTCACTTTAATTGGAAAAAATCTTTAACCCACAACAATCCATAACACATATATCTTTTGTGGGGGGGGGGGGGAGGAGGTGTGACAGCTCTGGCGACTGTGCTGGGGACAAGAACCCAGAACTTCTAATTCAGGGTTTAGAATTCGAGCTTGTAATGTGATCTATACTTGGCATTTTTGATTGTTGATATTACTGTGTTTGTGGGCCTAATGTACTAATTGTCGCTCATTTGCCGCTTTGATATTATTTGAACTATATAAATTGCCTTCTTACGCCTCCCTTCTGAGTCTTCTGAATTTATGGTGCACACGTGCGCGTGGCCCACTTTTCTGTTAGAGGTCATTCCAAATAGAACGAGGCTGGATCAACAACTAGGTCGGGTAGACTTCCGTACTCCCCGTACGTTGCCCCCACCTCGGCTTGAGCTTTCCGCTTGGGTAAGCCACGTCTAAAATACTCCCCCCAAAATTTTAAACCTAGAATAACATAGCCGCATGCCGGATCCCTAGTAGGAACGTTTTTTTGCATCACAGACATTTGACTTTGGGAACTCAACACACGGGTTGGGTCCGTCTAGGACAGGTGTACCCGATAATTACAAGACCATCGTGATGCATCTTATGTGCTACATATACATTATGTTTGATTCGGTTTGTGCATGTTGACCGGTTTCTAAAACATAAAAATAAGAATTGAGAGAAAACCAAAAGGAAGAAAATAGGAGAGAGAAAATTTACCCCTTTTTTTAAAAAAAAACATTCTCGGTATTTGAAAATCCAAAAACCCTTTCAAAACTTTACCCCAAAATGATTATTACAAAATAAGATTGAATTTTTCCCAAAAATAAAAGTGTCATCCCATTCCTGAAATATTGACCGAACTATGCGGATCTGATTCTCACCGGATGTGAGACACGTAGGCAAACCTCATCGGTTCCGGCCCCAAATTTTCAAAAATTCAAATATATTTTCATTTAATTCCTTCTTTAGCAGTCTTTTGCTTCGAAAATCCCAAATAAAAGAAAAAGATTTTAAAGCCAAAAAATATTTTCTTTCTTTTTAGAAGTCTCAAATTTGAAAAACAAAATCAAATCAAAATCCAAAAATGAGTTTTTTTTTTAGAAGTCTAAAAAATATATATATATTTTCTTTCTTTCGAAAATTATCAAAAAAATAAAAATAAAAATAAAATTAAAATTAAAAATCCAAAAATATTTTCTTTCTTGTTTAAAAATCTTTCTTTTGAAAATTTCGAATAAAAAAAGAGAGAAAATTCTAAATCCAAAATATTTTTCTTGTAAGGAGCTTTTGTGGTACGATTTTCAAAAAAAAAAGATTGATGAATAAATT